AAAATTAACGAAGTCTACAGTCCAAATATTTGGCCCAGAGGAGCTGCCGTTAGGATATTTAACTTTAAAAGAAATTTTCTTTTGTAGGATAAAAAAGCAACATGGCGGAGTTGCAATTTATGTAAAAGAAAATTGTATGTATTCTTCTTCTTCTTCTAACATATTTTGGTCTAAAAATCTAGCTCATGGTTTGCTAGAAACCAACTAAAACTTAACTCTGAAAAAACGCAAAAGTTGCTTATATCTACAAGTAATTTACACAATGACCTAGATAACAAAGGGACTGTTAAACTATTGGGAATAACCATAGATAATCGAATCAACTGGTCCGCTCATATCTCACAACTTAAGAAAAAGCTACGTTCATTATTTGTTATTCGTCAACTAGGATGGGTTGTCAACTTTAACACATTAAAAATGACATATTTTTCTTTATTTCCCTCTCACCTAAGGTACGGAGTAATTATATGAGGCAATTCAACAAATGCACTTCGAATTTTTAGAATGCAAAAAATCAGGATTTTAGCAGGGGTTAGTTATCTAGAACACTGATGACCTTTCTTTATCAAATTCAAAATTATGCTGCTACCTACTCTGTTAATATTTCAAGTTTTAACTGAGATTTACAGAAAACGTGCCCATTTAATAAAGCAATCTGATGTACATGTTCACAATACGCGAAACTGTCACTACCTATGAACTAATTGCTATAGATTACGTCTTTCAGAAAAATGGTCTTAATTAAAACTATTATAATATTTAACCAAAAAGTATTAAACAGCTAAGCTGTAATAGTTTCAATAAAGTTATAACAAAATATCTTCTAGAACATTGTTCTTACTGCTCAGAAGGATATATGATTCATTGCAGAACATCCACTGAACTGCTTACCGTAACTTTGCCATAAATGTTTTTCTGTTTAATGTGTTCTTGTTTTTATATATTTAAGTTACATTTCATATTCCTTTTTTAATACTATGTATTTTTTTAACTTGATATAAATAATATTTGATATAATATCTGTTATGTAGTTAAATAAATACTCTACTCTACTACATTCAGCTAGTGCGACGACTTAAAAAGATAAAACCATTTAAGCTAGTTTCATCAGTTAGTTGAAAAGCAGTTTCAACTAGATTTAAGGACACGAATGGTCGGAATTAATAAAATTTTAGCCACACGACTATTAATATTAGATCAAATTGTTTGTTGGTATTTCAGAGCAAATTGCAGTGATTTAGAAGCAGAACATATGGATTTTTATTTTATAAAACAATATTTTTGCTTACCTTTTGCTGATCTACTTAACAAGTGAAATCCAGCGGATATACTTCCGGCACTTTCGCCACCTACTGTTATTTTTTTGGGATCCCCTCCAAATTTATGGATATTTTGGTGTGTCCATTTTAGCGCTAGAAGTTGATCCTTAAGTGCCAAGTTTGCTGGTATGTTCTCATCAAGTGTTGTCAAAAATCCTAAAAAAAACAAAGGTAAAAATATTTTCGACACATTAAAAAAAAATATCGTTATATAATATATTGACCTTATAATACTGGTACTGACTATATTAAGCAATGTATTCTTATTGTAAGGTGCAACAGATACAAGGTGGAATTCCATTTGGTAAAAACCGCCATCTAATTATTCGACTAGAATTTCGATTGCTCAAAGCAACTCCAATAACTGTAGATGAAGTTGTAGCGATTATTCAATCCTTTAAGTTGAATGAAGCACCCGGACCTGATACATTAAAGGCAAAATTGTCAAAAGAAGTGGCTGAAGAAATTGTATCCCCTTTAACATTTATTAAATAAAATTATTGAAAATTGAATTAAATTATCAAATCTGTAAATAAATCGGGAAATAACGATTTAAGTCAAAATTACCGTCCAATTTCACTAATCTCTAGCCTTGCAAAAATTATTGAAAGAGCGATTAAAACTAGGATGGTAAAATTTTTAGACCTACGTATAATCATATCTGATATAATCAATTTGGTTTTGTTGAAAGCAACGGTTACAGATGATGCAATTGCTTCACTAATGGGTCGCATTGGTGAATAAAGGTTCCCTTAAACCAATGCGAATTAATTTGTAGTGGATTCATGACGGAAAATCGCACCGGAATCGTAGCGGAATCGTGAATGATCCCATACCAAAACCGAATATATTCGCATCATATTATTCAGGTCCAGTATCGGAAATATTGAGTGAAAAAACAACATTATATTCTTGATTAACGATTTAAATTATTAAAAAAATAAATTCCTCATCAGATGAAGAAACACTCGCAGTGTTTGTATTAGAAGACGAAAATTTGACAAAACATCTTATCAGATTTCTGCTAGAACACGAAATGTGAGGTATTGTGCATCCAGGAAACCCACAGATACCTAACTGCAGTGAGACCGAAAGTCTCCGGTATGAAACTGATTGCGGAGATATCACACAATAAGCATAGGAGCGCGGTATTTGTGAGAGCTCAAACCATAGTCTCATCTGTGGGAACAACAAATATACACAGTATAGAGATAATAACCACTAAGATCGGAAAATGCACAATAACCTCGGTATACAAGTCCCCAAACCAGCCTTTTATATTTTTACCTCCAACTTCCAATTACAATCCAACCAGATTGTACTGGGAGACTTTAACAGTCACGGTTTACTCTGGGGCTATGCAGATTTAGACGCAAATGGAGACGCAGTAGAAGCATGTTCCTAAACTTCCACCATCTTTTCGTTTTCCACCTAACTCGAAGACCGATATAACAAAGTAGTATATGGCTCCATACCAAAAACTCAGTATAGACCAGTTGGTGTAAATATCTTTCCAATTGTCAGACCACAAGTTATTTCATTCAGAAGGAGATATAAATTCAAGAAGGCAAACTAGAAAAAGTATGCAGACATGCTAAGTTCTGAGCTGCTACGTGTTGAACCAAAAGTAGAGAACTACGAAAAATTTGTAGAGATACCCAAAAATGCGTCTAGAAAAGCTATTCCCAGAGGATGTAGACAACAATATGTTCCCAGGATGTCCAGCCAGTCCAAAGAATTAATGAGAACATACGAAATCCTCTATTCCACTGACCTTTTTAGCCAAAAAACGGTTGGCTGCGAAGTAGTACTACTCCAACAGCTAAGTCAAGCCAGACAGGAAAAAGTGTATTGACACCCTGGAAAAAATGGACATGACACATTGTAGCAAAATAGCATGGAACCTTGTAAAAAAACTTAACGGTGATCCAAAAAAATCTAAACCACCTTGCAAGGTAACAGCAAACCAAGTCGCTGTTCAACTCCTTATAAATGGATGAACTACGAACTGATATAGGGACCCAAACACTAGAAGAAGATTGGTTTCGGAGACAAACCACCTAGGAACTCCTTTTACACTAAAAAAACCCTTCGACGGTATGAACAAAATAAAAAAAGGTAAAGCTGCAGGTGTGTATGATATATGCAGTGAGCAAATAAAGCATCTAAACCAAGGAGCAAAAAACTGGATCTTGCAACTTTATAATACGTGCTGCGAAGTCTGTGAAATTCCAAAATCATGAAGAAAATCTAAAGAAATAGCCTTGTTTAAACCAGGAAAGGACCCAGAAAATCCCCGTAGCTACTCGACAGAATAGAAAAAAATGTCAGCAAGCACCTCATCCCACAACAAGGAGAATTAAGACCTGGCAAATCTTACATCAGTCAAGTCCTCGCACTAGCAGAACATAATTAAGAGGGCTTTGAAAAAAAACTTATAACAGGGGCTGCTTTGTGGACATTGCTCCACAAATTATACAACACTTTTAATAGCCACCATCTGGGTAAAGTCATATTCCTTACTGCAAAACAGACGTTCTTTTCTTATGCTGGAGAGTAAAGTAAGTAGGTGGAGAGTTTAAAAAAACGACCTACTACAGGGAAGTATTTTAGCAGCAATGCTCTTCAATATATAGACAAACGACAACCCTACCCTAGTTTTGAAAAAGTGGAGGAGAAACTTGTAACTGCCTTAAAAACAATGACAACGTACTACCTGCAGAATTCCCTGAGACCCAACCCCTCTAAAACCCAAGTCTGCGCTTTCCACCTTCGCGCAAATGTGGAAGCCAAGCGAAAACTCCAAATTGCGTGAAATAGTAATACATTAGAACACACAAACCAACCTATCTATATATCTTGGAGTAACTCTGGACCGGTCCTTCACCTACAGACAACATTGCATAAAAACGAGAGACAACGTAACAACTAGGAACAGCATACTCAGAAAGCTAACGGAAAATAAATGGGCTGCACGTCCTGGCGTTTTAAGAACAACGGTATAGGCACTGTGTTTCTCAACTGCTGAAATGCCCGCCCCGTTTGGGGCAGATCTGCCCACACCAAACAAGTTGATACTGCGCTAAATAGTAACGGGATAGAAATAGGATAGTAACGGGGTGCATGAAACCAATGCCATTCTCAAGTCTATATAAAGCAGCGGCTTTTGCAGAACCCTCAACACGCAGAGGTGCTACAGAGCACACAAAAGCTTCCTCGGAACAGTGCAGGTTCCACTCTTCCCCAGGTTCAATGGACAGGCCAGTCCCTCAACTTTAAAACGTGGATAACTATGAATAGGATAAGAACGGGGGTCGCTCTAGTAAAATCAAGCATGGCAAAATGGGGAAAAATGGACCAAGATGATGTGAACTATAACTGTGGAGAAGCACAGAATATGCAACATCATCTTACATGCAGAAACTGTCCTCATCGATGTACCCTCAAAGATTTGTGGCTCGCCAACAAAGATGGAACCAACGTAGCCCGATACTGTACCGAAATTTTATGAATGACATGTCCGGACACGATAAAGTAAGTATTATAAATAATTGATAATAATTTTATTCCACAGCTGGTTTTCACCCTCTATATTAAACCTAAGGTATACATGTTTTGTATGGTCATACAATTACTTAATTACTCTATGTGATTCATAACTCTTAAGTTTTATTTATCCTAATAATTTATTTATCCTTAAATAATGTACAAATGACATGTATAAAATATAAATGCTTACCAAGTGCTCCTAATCGATAGTTTATTGTTACTACTATTATATCATAATCAACCAACAACTTTGGGTTGTAAAATAATATTGAACCAGCTCCATAAACGTAAGATCCACCGTGTATCCAAAAGAATATTGGTAATGATTTATTAGAACTGGGTTTCTACAAAATAAATATTTTTGAGAAAGTTTTCCTAATCATAATAAGAACGTGTTACCAAATAAAAATTTTTACTTTTAATAAATTTATTGCCTATAATCCGAATTTCATTAATCACCAAAAAAGGAGTAAGGAGACATAGTAAATTTGAATTGCTTAAATAATTTAAATTTGGCTTTAAATAATTTTCCTCAAATCCCGCCTGCCGCAAATAGCAGCGCAACAAACAATTTACACGTTCCTAAACCTTAAATGAAAAATCATTATCCGCACTCGATGTAAATATGCCATACAATTTGCTTCAACTTTAAAAAAAAATCAATGCACATCCTATTATTCCTAAACCATATGGGAATAAGTTTATAGCATATAAAGAAAAAATCTTCTTCTTCGCGTGCTATATCAGAATTATCCGACGTTGGCGATAAGCATTGCGAAGGCTTCTCGATCTTCTGCAATATGGAATAATTGTCCTGCATTTGGTATCTGAGTCCATTCACGAATGTTTTTTAACCAAGAAACTTGTTTTCTTCCTACACCTCTACGGCCCTCTATTTTGCCTTTAAGGATCAGTTGTAAAATTTTATATCGACTTCCCCTTACTATATGTCGATGTTTAACAGTCTTTAGCAGTTCTCTGTCTTTGTTGACGCTCCTTAGTACTTCTTCATTAGTTTTTCTTGCTGTCCAAGGTATCTTCAGCATTCGTCTATGAACACACATTTCCAATGCTTCAATTTTGTTCATGATCGATACTTTTAGGGTCCACACTTCTGCACTATACAAAAGTACAGACCAAACATAATACTTAACCATTCTTTGCCTTAGTTCTAAACTGAGATGGTTATTGCAAAGAAATCACTTCATTTTCATAAAAGTAGTTTTAGTCATTGCTATTCTACGTTTTATTTCTATGTCTGGATCTAGTTGGTCCGTTATCACAGTTCCTACATATGTCATTTTGTAAACTTTCTCAACTTGGACTCCGTTCAATTGAAGCTTTGCATCGGGATATGGGTCACGACTAAACACTAAAAATTTGGTTTTGTTTGAGTTTAATTTAATGCCCATATCCTCTCCTACCTCGTGAATACGATCAAGCAGAATTTGAAGACCTTCAATATTATCTGATAGAGTTACTGTATCGTCTGCATATCTAATCACATTAAGTAGTTCCCCGTTGATTTTTATTCCATATGGTTGTCTCTCAAGTGCCTTTTTAAATAGCTGGTCCGGGTAAACATTGAACAATATTGGCGACAAAATGCAACCTTGTCTGACTCCTCGTTGTATGGGGATTTCATCGGTGTAGTTATCTTCAATTTTTATGATAGCAGTTTGATTCCAGTACAAATTTTTAATGACACGAATATCCTTGTCATCTATTCCGATATTTTTCAGTATTTGCATTAATTTTACATGCTGTACTTTATCGAATGCCTTTTCGATGTCCACAAAACATGCAAATACATCTTTTCTTTGGTCACGGCATTTTTGTAATAGGATTCAAGTTAATGGAATCTAAAAAAGCTAAAAAGGCCATGAAAACTGAACAGCAAGAACGTGATCAAAGTTTCAAAGGCAACCGCGGCATAAAAGTTTGTTCAACAACAGGCCCTTCTAGAAAAGGGAAAGAGATAGTAAAAAGATGTCGAAATTTTAAGAAACAAGAATCAGACACAGAAGATGAAATCAGTGTCTCTTCTGGAACATCTGAATTTGACATTATTCCGGGAATGTCACCAACTAAAGAGGATGACGCTTTGTGCATGTTTTGTGACAGAAAATATTCGGAAGATTGTAAAGGCGAACTTTGGGTCTTGTGCATTATGTGTTCGTTGTGGGCTCATGTGGATTGTGCTGGGGCTGATAAGGATGCCTACATATGCGATTTTTGCAGATAAATTAATAATTTTGCTAACTATTTTTGTATATTTTATATTTTTATATTCGAAATTGTTGCAATATACGTCTATTTAGAAATTAGATCATGTTTTCTTTTATTTAATACTTTTTTCCAATTATTGGTACAACTTTGTTAATAATTTTTAAGGGGGTCCACTCTTAGCAACTATTTTCCGAATTCACCAAAGGCTAGATTTTGGAAAATACATATTTTGTATATTAATTTTTAATTATTATTAATGAAAGTTTAGTATAAATATCGACTATCGATATGAGTAAATTATTAAGATCTAAAAATATGCAATACCTGTTAAATAGTTTCTCAAAATATCTAGATTTAAGCACAATTAATGGCATATTCTCGTTCAAAATTTTTCTTTTAAATAAAAAAAAACAAATTATTATTATATGGTATAGTATTAGTATAGTGTAGTATTAGTATATGGAAATTATTGTTCCACATAGGAAAAACAAACTTACCACTGGTGTATATACATTCAATACCAAGCAATCTTCATCTTCATTTAAATCAGAAAGCATATGCTTTGTTTCAAGAAATTGTTGAGGACAGACTTTGTTATTGCTTGTTGTATTCAATATTCCTTCCCACGGTCCATGAGGTTTGGGGGGCTAGAAGCAATAGTAGATTTGGTATTCAGAAAATAATTATAGTTTTTCTTATAGACAAGGCGAAAAGCTTGGGGTCGTTCGTAAAAATATTCCCATGAGATTTTTTTTGCATAATCACTTTCATAAGATCCTCCAAAATAAGGTTCAAGGGGTCGCCCAGGCGAAAAGTTGTTCAATTTTTTTTTAAAAAATTGTAACAATCAATTTTTTCGGCCAGGGCAAATATTTTTTGAATTTTTTTAATCATTCTGAACAAAATAGGTTATCTATTTTGAAATTTTTTTGTAAATTTGATCGTTTTTTTAACATTTCATTACAAGAATATACAGTGAAACTACAATCGATAAAAAAATACATTAAATACAAAAAATATTGGTACAATTATTAATTATCAAATTCTAAACCACTAAATTTCCTACTAAAGCTTGGTTACATAGAGGAAATTAATAGGGATTTGCAATTGATCTGGCGAGCTGAGAATATTTTATATGTTTCGACTCAAAAGATTCAAAGTCGGCTAATTAAGATTTTGTTTTTTTGTGTCATGGAAGGAAACTAAAAGGCTTTTTAACGGTGGGATAGATATCACGAAGCTTAGAAAAAATTTTATCCCAGTGATCTTGCCAAGACATTTGGATGATATTTTTAAAATACGACTGTAAATCTTTATGTAATTGTATGTTTTCAGTCTCCATATTCTTCGACTTGCTTTGTAAAGAGATCGGATAGTTCATTACCAGGGATTTCTACATGAGACGAAATCCAGATCATGGTTATGGATACTCCCAGAGAGATTATACTATCGAAAGAGTTTTGAATAGCTTGAACCAAAGGATGTACTGTGTATAATCCGACAAGCCAGAGCTGGCGGGTGAGCTGCGCGAAAATAGAAAATAAATTATTCTAAGAGAGATAGTATAGGTACTTAAACGGTTATACACGATGTGAACTCCTAGCCGACTGCAATAGAAATGAGCAATTCGTTCCACTTTTCAATTTGTTCTACGCGCAACCCGCCAGCTCTCGCTTGTCGGGTTATACATTATTTTGAAAGAGTGGATAGACGCTAAATAGTCTGTACATATTCCACCTTATTATATTTTGGTGATAGTAAGTTTGTAACTTGGAGAATAGAGAATAAATCAGTGGTATGTATGTAGCAGAAGAGCGGGAGATTAGAAGATATGATTAAATCTGTGTTAAAGTTACAGCACATCCAACAGCTATAGGACTCTTGGAAGCATCTGTGTATACAATTTGGTCAAATCTGTTAGCAAATAATTGTTAGCAAATCTGTTAGCAAATGATGCTTATCATAATTAGTTAACGAGAGATTAAAATCTGCTTTCAATTTATTCTAGGGAGGTTTCTTCTTCTTCTTCAAGTGCCCTGTCCGTTGCTAACGTTGGCTATTAACATCGCAATTCTGATTTTGTTTGACCGATGTGAGCCCGAACCACTTCTGCAGATTTTGGAAATATGAGTGTCTTCTCCTGCCTGGACCCCGCTTACTGTTTATTTTCTCCCGGACAATCAATTGCAGTAGACGGTACTTATTGTGTTTCAATATGGGACCTAGATATTCAAGCTTTCTTTGTTTAATTGTGCTCAGGATTTATTTCTCCTTTCCGATTCTTTGGATTACTTTTATGTTGGTGACATGTTCGGTCCAGGATAATATACGAAGAATTCGTCGGTACACCCACATTTCGAATACTTCTAGTTTTCTCGTGAGCGTCTCTGTCAGCGTCCAGGCCTCTACACCATATAGTAGGATCGAAAAAATGTAGCATTTAACTAGACGTAATTTTAGGGGTCCTATTATATAATAAGTTACAGTCCTTTGAAATGTGGTGTTTGAAATAATAAACACAATAAAAATAAGAAAGTTACAGTATCTGGGACACAGAATGGGGAGACAGCGATATGAACTGCTAAGGCTGATCATACAGGGAAAGATTAGAGGAGGAAGGAGTATAGGAAGAAGAAGAGTATCATGGTTGAAGAATTTAAGGGACTGCTTTAAATGCAGTTCTATGGAACTCTTTAGAGCAGCAGTAGATAAAGTAAAGATAGTTATGATGATATCCAACCTTCAATTGGGAGACGGCACTTAATGAAGAAGAAGTTTTAGGGGAAGCGACAAATCCTTGCTTATAAAGAGCTTCTTCATATTGTTAAATGCTGCTCTAGCTCGTTCTATTCTCGCCTTAATTTCTGTGGTCTGTTTCCATTTTGCATTCACGTTGGTGCCAAGGTACAGTTGCGGTCACGGAATAGTTTACACCTTACTTTTTATATTGTAATACTGTAAAATTGCAGTGTCGTACGGATTGGATAAATGTCAAAGTCAAAAAATTTCAAAACGTCAATGCTTTCGCGAGTGTTTAACAATAAAATAAAAGTATATTAAACTCTTCCAAAATGGTTAGAATACATTTGAATTATGCGCAAAAAGCAAGAGCAATTGCCAAACTCGAAGAAGGTTGGTCACTAAGGCAAGTTGCTGCTGATTTGAACGTGAGTCATATGTGCATATGGAAGATTAAACAAAGATGGGATAATTTTCACTCTATAGCACGGTTGGGCGGTTCAGGAGGGCAGAAGATTTCCACAGATCAACAGGATGAGATGTTAGTAGATTATTTGAGAGAATCTCCTTTTGCCACAGCTCAAAAGGCAAGAGAAGAGGCAGCGTTTCCAGGCAGTATTCGCACTGCACGTCGAAGAATTAAAGCAAATGGACTGCTAAATTGTGTAGCTGCACGGAAACCTTTTTTGACTGAGGATCACAAGAGGAGACGAGTTGAATTTTGTAATGAATTTATAAACCGCGATGAGAATTTTTGGTCTAGGGTTGTATTTTCCGATGAAAAAGTATTTCAGTCGTATAATAATGGTCGAATAAGAGTTTATAGGCCGAGAAATCATAGGTATGATGAACAGTATACGCATCATTTAAGAAATAGTGGAGGATTCTCTGTCAACGTATGGGGATGGATAAGTGCCGAAGGCCCGGGCGTTTGCTATCATGTAGAGAAGAAGTTCCGTGGCCTTCCCGTAGTGCAGACTTTAACCCCGTCGAAAATGTGTGGGCAGAGTTAACAAAGAAACTAAGTGAAAGAAACCTTAGACCACGGAATAGAATTGAATTATGGGAAGCAATTGAGCAGGCATGGGAAGAGCTTGTTAACTATAACATGAGGGGATTGGTGCTATCTATGAACAGAAGACTGCAAAATTGTATTGACAAGAATGGGGCTTCCACCAAATATTAATTATTATTTATCATTGTTTATCGTTATTTAATATAAAATAGATTTAAAATAAAATGCATATTAAAAAAAAAGACTTCTTTATTTTCGTTATTAAGATCATAATCCATTTTATTCAAAAAACTGTTTTCTATATTTTTCATTTTGTAAAATATTTTGATATTTTAATTTTAATCTACTTATTCTAGCTAGTACACCACTGGCAACGTCACTTTGACGTAAAAGGTGCGTTTAAACGAAGTAAAAATTTAAAAAATGGGCTCCTAGATACGTGAACCTGTAAACTATTCCGTGACCGCAACTGTACATATAACTTACAATATTTTTTTTTGTTTATATTGATCCAAAAAATATAAAAAAAAATATGAAAGCCCAAAAATTTATTCTTACCTTGGGCGACCTATTGAACCTTATTTTGGAGTATCTCAGAAAAGTAATTATGTAAAAAAATCTCATACGAATATTTTTCCGGACGAACACGAGCTTTTCGCCTTATCTATTACTAATAACTTATGATATTACCACACTAATTATTGGTAATAATGAAGAATAAAAGAAAACATATCGAACGTTTCTATATAGGGTTACAAGAACAGTTAACAAAGAACAAATACTTGTTGCAATTAGCATTTTGCATATTTTCAATTGTAGCATATACTCCAAATATGTATTTCCCTTTCCATGTAAACAAAGCTTTAATAATTTTATTGTATACCTGCTCCCATTAGGTTGTTTCTTAGCTCTTTTTTAAATTAATATCGATATTCCTGACACTGCGCTCGTTTGTCTTTGTTTAGTCCTATAAAAATGAATATATTGGTCAATTTCTATAGTACCTTGGCCTTTTTAATAGTTTCTTTCATAACAGTTACATAGGATTTTATCTTTTTTTCTTGGGAATCACTTTGCCAATTTTGTTTCTCCATTCTTGCATGATATCACATTCTTGTCCATGTATTCATAATCACAGTCTGGTTTCGTTTGCTATGTCGTTTCCGTGATGAAACTTCCTGTATTCGAGGCTGATTACTAGGAATTAGGCTTTATTCCCTCAACCGATCTGTTCCAGTTTGAGGGAGCCAGAAACTCGCCTTCCATCCTCTCTAATCAGCTACCTGCTGGTAGCTGTGTACCCAGCGGCTACCAGACGCATGCCTTCGGGGAGATTGGAGTAGGATTTATTGGTAGAACTGAATTGTAGTGCTAGAATCCCTGATTCTTTTATTAATTCCCCAAATCATTTTATTTTTCATTAATTTCTTTTTACTACTTTATTCAATTTTTAATAAAATTCATCTTTATATGCTTCATCTTGAGGTGCATACAACGCCACTAAACCTATTTTCCTCTCATTGTTCTTAAATGTTAAGCTTCAAAACTTCTTTTTATTATTAAATAAAATTTTTACCTTAAATCTGTTTTTTCCTATAGGAGGTTCTGCATAGGGAATATCTTGAAAAGCGTAGAAATCTTTTCCTTCTGCGCTTTGAAGAACATGTCCACGGATTTTGCCTAGGTTTTCCAACTCAACTATTAACTCATCTTCCTCAAACTTGGCTGCAGTTCCAGGCAATGAGTTTACCTAGAAATAAATAATAAAATTATATATATATATATAGTACTATATAGTGTATATATAGTGTACTATGTATAACTTGGATAATTGGACTTGGTTAAATGGATTCAATATTTCGTACCAAAAATGTGCCATAGTATTTTTTTCAAGAAAACACCCTATTAAACATCACGCTGTAACCTTACATGGCAATGATATTCCAATTGTTTCGGAATTTAGATATCTTAGTGTCATACTTGACAGAAAACTGCTTTGGACTCAACATATTAATTATACAATTGGTCGCTGCGAAAAAGGTATTAATTTTCTTAAAATGGTGTGTAAGAGATCGTGGGGTGCAGATCAAAACATTGCATTGAATTTTTATCGAGCCTATATAAGATCTATAATAGATTACTGTTGTGTGGTATATGGGTCAGCTAGCATAACCAATTTACGTAAACTTGATAGAATTCAATTTAAAGCTCTAAGGATTGTGTTAGGATTGATGAAAAGCACTCCAAATGAAGCCACCCTAGCTCTAGCATCTGAAAATCCACTCTCATTATGCAGAGAATATCTGGCAAGCAAATATTTCCTAAACCAACATTATCGTGGCACTTATAATGCAAAAATAATTAATGAATTAAATACAGCTGATTTAACATCTACATACTTCGTTAAAAAAACTCTCCACCACTTGCAAGAGCAATTATAACGTGCAACGAACTGAAGTTAATAAATTTCCCTTGTAATCTTATCTGGGAATCGTTGGATATACCACATCTAACAAGTGTTCTAGCTACAAATATTATTATCCCAAAATACCAAAACGAATTTTGCTACACTACTCTTAAAGAAATCTTAAGTGGCTATTCAGATCATATTGTGATCTATACAGACGGGTCAAAATCACCAACATGTACATCCAGTGCTTACTTTGTACCAAAACTGAAGATTAAAAAAATCATTTATTTTAAATAATCAATCCAGCATTTTTTTTGCTAAAGCGTGTACTATATACAAAGCCCTTGAATTGTGCTGCGAAAACCAATGGAACAAAATTGTCATATGCAGTGATTCACTGTCAGTATTGCACTCCTTACAAAACTTTAAATTCACAATCAATAGCAATATATTCATATCAGAAATTTTTTAACAGTTACTAAAACTATCAGATCCATATGGTACTAAATTTCTATGGGTCAAGAGACACTCAGATATTGTTGGCAATACTATTGCTGATTCTATAGCAAAAAATCCATTACAGCACCCACATATGGTGATAGAAGAATTTAGCACATGTGACCTACTTGCCTATATCAAACAACATATTAAATTTAAATGGGACAGACAATGGATTCAGTTTGGTAAAAGCAGGGGCACTAATTTATACAAATTACAACCCACAGTAGGTGTAAAACAATTTTACAAAGATGTTACACTAAGCAGAAACACAGTTTCAACTGTCTTAAGATTAAAAGTAAATCATGGATGTTTTCCGAAACATCTACACAAAATAGGAGTTCTCCCAACAGACCGATGTGAGTGTGGAACTAGCGTAGCTGATTTAAATCACATATAGGCCAATCAAGTTAGGTTTTTACTCATCACAAGTGTATAGACGGGTTTGACAGTTGAAATAAGTAGTATGAGATATTACAAAAAGACTCTCATCTAGGGATTCATGAATTTTTTAGTGGAAATATTTTTAAATAAACAATTAAAACGTCAATATCATTATTTTGCTCATAACTTATAAACTTGTCTATTTAGAGATTTGACGTCCACAGATAAGTTGTTGAGAAAAAAAATACACAAAATGAGATATACTAAATTAAATTCGGTTAATAAACAAAAAAGTTATTGCATAATAACCAAGCAAAACCAGTGTTTTTAATTATTGTTAATTACTCTTTTATTAATCAACAAAATTTATTTAAATGTATCTGAACTTAAAGACCTTATCGTGTTCGAAGTGTGTGCGAAAGATAGGCTAGATCCGTCAAATAGTTTTTGCACAATTTAATTTGTTTTTAAGATTTTTTGAAAAATGCACAAATTTCTAAGGCCGGTCCAGATAATTTGACTGAATGGACCTTAATAATCCGGGGCTTATTTTCTTTGTTGAGACATATATTAATATTCTATGGAAAAAAAAGTTAAAAAAAATTACGTTTATGTACACAAAATTATTTAACAATAAATAGCACTTCTTAAGCTTATAAACATTTACAATAACTCCGTAATATTTAGTTTAAATTAAATGGCAATAAAATATTCGGAAGGCCGGTTAAAAAACACAACTTAAAAAAAAGAAAAAGGTCCTGCGACCATTAGGAGCCGAGTTAGTCCTTTTCTTTAAAAAAATCACTGTTACGTCAATTAACAACACTTTTAGAAGAAAAGTCAAAGTTTTTAACAAAATATTTAGCAAACAAAATAATTGAAAATTGATTAAACAGGAGTGTTGTAAACCAAGAGTACTTTGCGTTCCGACTCAGTGTACTCCTACATTGGAACCGTATTTCTCCCGATCCGATATCGCCCGAAGTCGGCCGACGTCGGATTGAAAACAAACTCAAGGTTTTAAATGATAGTGCCTATACTGCTTCGTCATGGAATCAGTGTAGGCACTATGATTTAATACCTTGAGTTTGTTTTCAATCCGACGTCGGCCGACGTCGCCCGTTATCGGATCGGGAGAAATACGGTTCCAATGTAGGTGTCCACTCAAATGGAAGGAGTGGGGATTGCCGATTGCACTGAAGCCGCGCTCTAAAAAAAGTCGAGCGCACGTCGAAAGCAGATGCTGTTAGGCCGTTTAATGGCGGTACATGCATAGAACTTCAATGTACTAATATTTATGAAGAAGAAAACGATACAACAGATGAACAAGAGATAATTGATGAAATGTATTTAACTGGGTTTGATGAGAATAGCGACAATGAAAATGAAATGATTTATGAAAGTTATAATAGAAGTGAAATTGAAGATGAATGTTTACATAGTAGTAGCAGTGACGATATAGAAATTAAGCGTAGAAAATTACAGTAAATTAAATTATTTTAAAAAATCACTACACAAAATTTCAACTTCTGTAATAACATAAAATTAATTTATTATTTCATTAATAAATTTTTAGTAAACATTATTCAAAATGTTCATTTACTTATAACATTTATTTAATATAATCATATTTGAAATAAATAAATAGAAAAATAACAATAAAAAGACGACTTAAGAAAAATTTTGTACATTCCGTAGTCATTAGCTGCTTTGTTTTGAATAATTTTGCAATAAAAGTACGTTAAATGTTATTATTTTAACGTTGTACCCCAGTTTAAACAAAAAAGAACAAATTTGGTCCACTAGAACCCGAGATATGTCATTTTTTTCCAAGCACTCTATTTTGAAACCGTGCGCTCGACTTTTTTGGAGAGCGCGGTTTGTGTGCAATCGGCAATCCCCACTCCTTCCATTCTAGTCGGAACGCAAAGTACTCTTCGTTTACAACACTCCTGTTTAAACAATTTTCAATTATTTTTTTTGCTAAACATTTTGTGAATAACTTTGACTTTTCTTCTAAAATATTGGTTAATTTCAGCCCTTAATGTTGTTAATTGACGTAACAGTGATTTAAAAAAAAAAAGGACTAACTCGGCTCCTAATGGTCGCAGGACCTTTTTTTTGTTTTTAAAGTTGTGTTTTTTAACCCGCCTTCCGAATATTTTATTGCCATTTAATTTAAACTAAATAGTACGGAGTTATTGTAAATGTTAATAAACTTAAAAAGTGCTATTTATTGTTAAATCATTTTGTGTACATAAACGTAATTTTTTTTAACTTTTTTTTCCACAGGATATTAATATATATCTCATCGAAGAAAATAAGCCCCGGATTATTAAGATCCATTCAGTCAAATTATCTGAACCGGCCTTAGAAATTTGTGCATTTTTTTAAAAATCTTATAAACAAATTAAATTGTGCAAAAACTATTTGACGGATCTAGCCTATCTTTCGCACACACTTCGAACACGATGAGATCTTTAAGTTCAGATATATTTAAATAAATTTTATTGATTACTAAAAGAGTTATTAACAATAATCAAAAACAGCCGTTTTGCTTGGTTATTATGCAATAACTTTTTTGTTTATTAACCGATTTTAATTTAGTATATCTCATTTTGTGTATTTTTTCTTTCTCAACAACTCGTCTGTGGACGTCAAATCTCTAAATAGACAAGTTTATAAGTTATGAGCAAAATACTGATATTGACGTCTTAATTGTTTATTTAAAAATAGTTCCACTAAAAAATTCATGAATCCCTAGATGAGAGTCTTTTTGTAATATCTCATACTATCAATTTCAACTGTCAAACCCGTCTATACACTTGTGATGAAAAAACGCTTATTTTCTACTAACTTGACTCGTCTAATATTCTGCAACTGCCCACTACATCGTAATACAAGGACGTGCCTGATAAAAGAATTGATAAAAGAGGGATTAGGTACACCATTAAACGTAAATCTCCTACTAAGTGAAGACAATATAAAAATCTTTAAAATAATTATATTTCTTGTAAAAATTAAATTAAAGGTATGAGTGTAAAATTGATCGTATGCTTGAACATTTCCTTTGTATGTTTACCATATATGTTGCCCACCGACCTAACCGTGGTTTATGTCTTGTTTGTTACAATAAAGCCGCTCTGATGAATCCGTGAGCGTGAAAAGTGTCCTCCTTGTACAATCCTGTATGAATGAATACTAATATTTATATGTAATTACGTGGCTAAAGGTTTCAAGCCAAAGCCAATAAAAAAAAAAAGTTTGTATAAAACAAAACAGAAATTAAAGCCAGGAGAAAAAGTATCTTATATCACAATAAAACACTAAAAACTTTGTTTTCAAAACTTCCCCAAAATTTATTATAATATCTTATCACTACAGCTGTTTCGACTGAGTGCCTATCTCAAGTGGTCTAGTTTTGTTATGTGTTTACATTTTACATACCAAAAATAGAT